AGGGAGAACTGAAGAAGCTTATTTAATTTAATTTTTCTTTATTTCAGGTTGTTTTTAAATTAGGTTTTGTCTAGCTAGATAATCAATTTAACACACTGTGCAGTGCCCACAACGCACCTGGTGCGTTTTTTGTTTTTTTCAAAAAATAAAATTGAAAACCTATACTAGAATTTATTTGAAACAAGATGCACTTATTTAAATTAAAAAATATGAAGAAAAACTTAAGTGGTATCTGAAACAATACTCTTTTTTGGGATGGGCAGTGAATGTGTTAAGGTCCCCCAGTAAAAATATAATTACCTTTATCTTGTATATTTTCCTCAAAATATAGGTCTAGGTCTATTAGGAAGTCTGTTAACTTAGTATCGTGTAATCTGTAAATCACTATAATATTAAACGTTTTTGTGTTGCAGTTAACTTTTGCATTTATTACTTTACACTGGTTTATGTAGTCAATTAGTACATTCCAAGCTATTTTTCACGAACATAATCACTCCATCGTTTTGATTAAATGTGCCACCACTATATATTGCAGTATAACCTTCTAGTTTGAACAATTCTATATTAATTACTCTGGTTTCCGACAAGACAATACAATCTAATCTATCTACGAAGTGCTCTAAGAAAATTTCCAATTCTGTTAGATTTTTATTAACGCTACTTATATAAAGGGTAAGAATTTTAAAATTGTTATTACCTGAGTTGATTTTATAAATCTTATTACACTCCTGTGCATTTTGGAGTGTGTATGTTTGGATTTTTTTATCCAAATTGAAGTTTTTTTGTAAAAGAAAAAACAGAATTTGCATAAAATTAAAACATATATTATATATTATATGATATATATGTAGATAAAGCACAAATAAGTATACCGACAAGATCACACAATTTAAAATTTATCACAAAATTATAAATTCAAGGTCAAGGACAATAGGACATATAAATTAAGCGTCAAAAAGAACAAAATATATTATATATTATATGATATATATGTAGATAAAGCACAAATAAGTATACCGACAAGATCACACAATTTAAAATTTATCACAAAATTATAAATTCAAGGTCAAGGACAATAGGACATATAAATTAAGCGTCAAAAAGAACAAAATATTACAAGCAAACATCAACAAATAAGAGACGAAAGCAATAAAAAAATAAAAATAAAAAAGAAAATAGTTTAAAAATATAATATACACAAATTATTAAGTTGGAATCTGTTTTTTTTGAAATTCTCTCCGAGCGTTTGCAAGGGTTGGATAAAGCAATTTCCTCCGCCTTCCTTTTGTTACCCTTTAGGTTTGTATCTATGTGGGTTTCTTCTAGGTGCTGGGCTACCACTTCTGGTTCGCTGTTTTTATTTTCGGCGGCAACAAAAATTAGGTTTTCTTCCCTAATTAAGTATAATATACCTAATTAGGGAAGAAAACCTAATTTTTGTTGCCGCCGAAAATAAAAACAGCGAACCAGAAGTGGTAGCCCAGCACCTAGAAGAAACCCACATATTATGAGTCTTCACCTATGTGTAGTATGTTATTTTTAATGTAGGCTTCTTGATTTTGTTTTCTTGCTTTTTTCAGTAAAGAGTTTTTTGTACTCTGTAATCTTCGGGGGTTAGCTCTTTGGAAATTATTATTTTTGTCCCTTTTAATTTGTAAGCGTTTTTTGAATTTCTTGCTTAAGGGCGTAATTTATTACCTCAATGTAAAGAGGTCTAATTTTATTGTTGATTTCTTTACCCAGTTTTTTTATATCTCTGAAGTCCTGGTAAGTGCACTTTACCTCTAGATTCTGGTTAATAATATTTAGAAAAGACTGTATATCTTCAGTTTGTTCTTTTCTTTCGGTTAATCCGTAAATTATTAATTTATACATTTTTTCGTTTCTGGATATTTTTTGCAATTTATTTATTAAATGTTCGTTTTCTTTTCGTTGAATATTTTCCGTTTTTAGTGAATCTATTTCTTTTGTTATATCTGATTTTAAAAGTTTTATTTCATTCTTTAATTCTTCGTTCATTAATCTATTTTTAGTTGTTATTTCCTCGTTTATACTCATCAGCGTTTGTAGCAGTTTAAAAATATCATTATTTGATATTTCCATTGTTTAGAACCGAAACGTAATATTGTAATACAAGCTCGTCACCCAAGCGACCCGGGTTCAAATCCCAAAATCTTTTTTTTTATTAAAAATTGTATTGAGTTTTTATTCGTGAATCAATGTTTTTTGTTTAATTCGTTTCCAGTTTTTTGTATATACAGGGTGTCCTGAAATTAGTGCACCATACTTTAACAGCAGATTGTACGTGCAAAAATAAGAAAAAAAGTCGCTATAAACATAGGTCAAGAAATGCCTCTTAAGGGAGCTACAGCTCCCAAAAGGAAAGCCCCTGAAGATGGTTTTTATTTAATATCTCCAAAACCGTTAAAGATATAAAAGTGAAATTTGGGGAATTAATTAAACTTTTTATGACCAATAAGACGTAACAATAACAATTGTAAATTTTTTATGAGGTTTGGGTAAGATTGATAGGAAGTAGGGTTAAAACCACCTTAACTTTTTTGTACGTACCTTGTACCAGAATTTGGTATCAGATTATGAAATTTTAGAGTTTTGCACATAAAAAAAGTCATCTTGTTGAACTTCGATAACATACACCGTTTTCGCATAAAATCGATTTGAAAATTATTTTACATGGCATAAAAATTCACAGTTAAATCACAACCATAGAAATGGACTCGCGTGGTCCTTGGAATACGGCTGCCATGTTTAGGAAAAAATAGAATAATTCAAGACAGGTGACAGTTTCATGTAGTAAGTGACAGGGTGTTTCTACTTTTTTTATTTATATTAGATAAAAACCATCTTCAGGGGCTCCCTTTTCGGGGGCTGTAGCTCCCTTAGGAGGCATTTCTCGACCTATATTTATAGGGACTTTTTTCTTATTTTTGCACGTAGAATCTGCTGTTAAAGTATGGTGCACTAATTTCGGAATACCCTGTATATGTTCAATATTTAAGTTATTAATTATAACATTCAAACTAACCTTTTGTATTAGATATGCTTTTCTAATTCGGAACAACACAACACATCCAATTCAGATTTGCAAGGGTGGTATTTTCATATCGATTTTATTATCACACTTAACATTAAACCTTATTTTTACTAACTTTATAATGCAGCGAATTAATACGTGTTGTAGTGGCTAGTGTAATATATTGGTACCTATTTTAACAATACAATATATAGCCACCTAAAATCTGTTTCGCGTTCGTACACTGCATGCCTCCAATTGTCTGCCGGATGGTCCTCACCCCATCGCCCCTGGAACATCCAGAGAATGCCCTAGGACTCGTCCAACCAGGGGTACAGGTTCTACAACAGGTCTTTGAACATCCTTTCGGTTGCCCTTTCTCTCTGCGCTCTCTTTATTACCACATAGATTTTAATGACTTCAGACAAATAACAGTTTGAATTTTGTAACGGGTCTAAATTTTTGAACATTTATAATCATAATAAAACAACATACCTTAATTATTAAGATGTTTATTTATTATTATAAATACATAAAAGGGTAAATGTCAGTATGTGCTTTAAGTTGTTGTGAATTGTGTTCGTCTCGGGGTCTGCCCAAACAGCAATGTGCTAGAATCCTACAATAAAAAGAAACAGAAATTAGTATTACAAAGTATAAACCAAAGATTCAATCACTTGTTAATAATATTAGAGTTGAATTGTCAAATGTCAATCAATAAAACTAAACTTAAAATCCCTAGAGGTTCCCCTCTCTAATTAATTTTTTTACCTTAATCATGAATTGCCAAATTTTTGTTCTTTTACCGATAAAACCTTGTAGAGAAAGAGAGCTAAATGCTGATTAAGTTTTCAAGTTGAAAGTAAAATTTTATAATTATTAGTAGAATATTTAGTAGAAGTTGTTGTTATATGGAATATTGGAAAGCATTGAATACGGAAAAACAGACAAAATACATCTAGGTAGGTGAAGTTTCAAATTAGTTTTTACTTTAAAGTAAAAAACTACACATGAAACCATGTGTTTCTTTTTTTTATTTTTATGATTTATGATAATTAAAGTTAGCTAAACCAGATTAATTTTCAGAAAACTTGTAAGTAATATTTTATTTATATCATTTTATTGCCTATTATACTTTTATCTCTAAAAAAAAAAGAAACACATGGTTTCATGTGTAGTTTTTTACTTATGAAAAAAAAACTAAAGGAGAAATGACATTTGAACTGTAAACATTATTTACCAAATAATTATAGAATAGGATTCTAGCAATAATTGTTTCTTTTAGGCTGTTTAGGAAAAGTGTTTAGTAACGGTGTTACTTGTACTTACATGTAGATGTGGATATTGTGTCTAAGAAGTTATTTACCTGGTTTGAATGCTGTGGCGCCTGGTATATGTGGATCTTTTGGTTGGTTTGCTACCTATTAATCCTGCAAGAAGTTATTGATAAAGTTTTGCCGAAAAACCACTGCTTCAATGCTTACGATACTAATGGATGCCGGCGCAGAAAATTGTTAAGGTAGTACATTGAATTTGTTAGATATCCTAGTGGACTTTGATTATATTGTTTTGCTGGAATATAAGAGAAACTTGTTAGGAATAGGTTATTAGAAAATGTATATATGCTTACCTGTATTGTTAACTGAAGTAAATCACTGACAGGAACACGGGTATTTATTATTTTAGTAGTGAGGTTAAGATAGTTCTAAGATCAGTAGTTCGCATGACGCGATGTAGCCGGTTTCACTCTGCGTAGGCTGACACAAAGTTGGCGGTGTTGCCATAACTTAATGGATTAATTGCTTTCAAGTCGTCGTGTTAATTTTAACATTACCTGTTAACGTTTAAATTTTAGTTTTAAAAAATAATTGTGTTGTATTATATTGTATTATTGATGATCCTCCCTCACCTAAGACTACCTGTCGATTTGGTCTCGGCTGGCGCCCAATTAAAAAAAAGGATTTTATACGAACCCACACCCAGCCTCGAATTAAGCAGCAGCCGTAAGTAAATTTTTAATTAAAAATTCCAACTTGAACAAAGGTTACAATTTAATAAACTTACAAAATTTAAAACAGACTTATACACTTGACCGCAAAATTAACCGGACATTTTTCGGGAAAATATTAGAAAATATAAACAAATTTTAATTATTTTTAATAAATCCTTTATTATTAAACATTTTTAACCAGAAAAAAATTAAAAAATATTACACCTCCGCCGCCAAACTGTACTCTGGGAGAGAAGCAGCACTAAGTATATCGCTCTCCAGGTCGTCTAAACACATTTTGTCGACGATCAGGTGAGTATCTGGTGAAACGGGAGTCATCCGTAAAGAGAACATGAGCGCTGTCTACGATGGGCTGCGTCCAACAGTTGGCCAGTGGCAGGTTGATGGGGCATTAAATTATGTTTCCTCAGTCTTCTTAGTACAGTATCTGATGAAATGGATGTACCATGAACATATGCCAATCTCCTAGACAAGGCTGTAGCAGAAAGTTTCCGGTCTCGCAGAACTTGAAGTCGAAGAAAACGGTCTTCAACTTCACTTGTCGATCGCGGTCTTCCTTGTCCAGGTAATCTTGAATAGGAAACTGTTTCCCTAAACCTTTAAATTGCATCAGACACTGTGCTTCAGGGAATATTAAGTGTGTTGGCAATACCGTATGCTGCGTCCATCATTGTAAAGTGCAACAGCTTGAACGGCTTCTTCGGGAGTCATTACAGATTTTTTAAATAAAAATAACTTTTAAAACAAACTTGAAAAAACCATAAAAGGCCAAAAACAAACAGGAATAAAAATTAATTGAAGAGCTTTTTTAAATAAGTTATGAATTGAAGAGCTCTTTCAAACAATTAAAATGTTAAATATATAAAAAAAAATGTAAAACAATGTCATCGTCGTATTTTAAAGCCTAAAAAACAGTTTAATCTTATATTTTTTTATTTGTGTATAGTTGTATCATCAATATACAGGGTGTTTAGGAAATTTTATTAAGGAAAAATCAAGTGTCCGGTTAATTTTGCGGTCGAGTGTATAATTTTCACAACCGACAATGAATACAATGAAAATAAATTTAAATTCCTAAAACTAAATTAAACTACAATATTTGTGATTACATAATCTTAAAATATATTCATTAATATTAGGGATTTAATATTTCTACAATATAAAATATATTTATTATTAATTCAAATTTTACAGTATTGTAACCTTCACTAACTTCCATAAACATATAATTTTTTTTTATTTCATTGTTAATTTTTTCAATATCACTAATTAACTTTCAGACTCAAAGTGGACAAACCGTCCTCAGCACCGACACACTTACTATCACAGCTGACAAGATTATAGAGGTACAGCCTAAACACCACTACTCGCATCATCCACCTCTGGTGCGGTCCGTGCCATTTCTACTCCGCCTGCAACCGTATCCGACCCATTTTCCCAGCGGTTGGACGAACTTCTACGTCAGATTTGTGAAATGCAGATCGAGATAAAATCAATCAATCGTCACTCTCGGTCACGAAACCACACTTCATCGGATGATCGTTGCAACCGTTCTTCGTCTGCCAATTCTACATCCAGAACCGTCTGTTGGTATCACCGACGTTTCGGCAACCAAGCCACCAAGTGCACCCAACCCTGTTCATTCATTTCAACAAACTCCAACGGCAGTCAGTGACGGCGGCAGCCGGCTGCCCTACCGGAGGACACCGCCACCTTGTTTTAGACCCTAAGAAAAAACATACATTTTTATTAAACACAGGCTCCGACATTTGTTGTTTTCCTCAGACATTTCTCGCCGATCGTCGATGCCGTGTCAGCTACGAACTGCGTGCTGCCAACAACTCCATTATCCATCCCTTGGCGTTTTAACACTAAATTTAAATTTTGTACTTCGACGTGCCTTTGTTTGGAATTTTGTCATCGCCGACGTGAGTGTTCCTATCCTTGGATCAGATTTTCTGGCGCATTTCGTACTTCTACCTGACTACCGCAATAAACGCCTCATCGACAGCATCACTGGCATCTCCACTCCTTGCCAGTCAGTCAGCATTCCCCAAGTCAGCATCAAGGCCATTATTCCCGATTCGCCTGGCAATTCCATCCTGTCAGAGTTTCCTGCGCTCATTTGTCCTGCTGGAACGTTCCGAGAGGTCCACCATTCCACGTTACACTATATTAAAACGACACCTGGACCACCTGTTTCTTCCCACCCTCGGCGTCTTGCCCCTGATCACCTAGTATTGGCTAAAGCTGAATTCGATGCCATGCTCCGTGAAGGAACGGCCCGCAGCACAGTACAACGAGTAAATGGTAAATCGGGACAAAAATCATAACTCCTATGTTTTTATTGATATCAATGCAATTTTTTTTTTTATTTTAACAGCCCATATTACTGCACAAAAGGCACATGTATCAACTTACAATCTTGTTTGTTACAGGTAAAGATTTAGTTACATTTATTTATTGATTTTGATAGTTTGATACTAAATATTTAACAATAAATTTTAAACATACTGTATAACGTAAAATCAAAATTGTTAATTCAATAAGGAAGCTACTGGACAATCTTAGTAGTATTCTTAAGTTTGGCTCTACAGGGTGTTTATAATTATTTAATGAATGAAAACAATCCGTGCCTAATAACAAGTAAAATCATTCTGAATCGTCACTGCTGGAATACAAAGAATTATTGTCTATATTTAAACCTGTAATCACACTTGAAGGGTCAGTATCTAAATTATTAAATAATAATAATAATAATAAACACATTTATTTACCCAAAATTTGTACATTAAGAGGTTACACACAAAAAAAATACTTATTGTCTGGGCAAATAATAGTTTTCAATAATAGACCTTAATAAAGTGATATTTTCAAGGGTCTTCAAAATATTAGTCACTGTAATATTTAAAAACTCTTGCAACTTTACTTCGGCCAAAGATTCAGAAGCCTCAACACTCTTTGGTAGTAACTTATTTCGACACTTCTTTACTTTATAATATCTAGGAAAACAGTCTGGATGCAAGGCGTTAATCACTGACCTCAGTAAACAATATTTTCTATCCGACAAATCTAAATCTAAATACAGATCTGACACCTGTTGTGGCGATAATGATTGTCCCTGTTCAGGCTTCAGGCCCTGGGTGCTCATAATACGCGCAGATTCTTGAGCCGCAAAAGACAGTTCCTGGAAACTATGAGAAGCTAGTAAATGTTCTACTCGTCTTCTTTTTGTTTTTAGACTGCAGACTTCAAATGGTTTTGAAAGGCGACCACGATTACAGCCTGGATCTGTCTCGTGTTCAATTAAAGTGGCCAAAGATGGATAAGTTTTTAAAGAATCTAGAATCTGTCAGAAACCGATCACGCTTTCTTTGAGATTTTTGCCAATTTTGGTCTATTTTAAAGCAAAACAAGTATGCAATGTCATGAAGCCTTTTAACAACTTCATTTAAAAGACCATCTGTTTTAAAATAACTCAAAAGAGTCTGAAAGATCCTCTCTTCTACTTGAGACTTGAGATCCATATCTCAACAAGATCGATATATTTAATTGACTGAAATGTGCCTAAAATTAAAAAAATCATGTACTTGCGCAAAGCGGCGCAAAAAAAGTTGGTTAGTGTCATCAAGTACAGACCTTACGAAAATATAATTTGATAAATTTGAAAGGGTCAATTTGGGTCTTTTAGAGAAAACGCTTATTAAAATTAAACTACTACTATTTTTGTTGAAACATTTTTGACGACTCCTGGCAACCACATTCACAATTGGCATTCTTCTCTCAGAAGCTTACCCCACGACAATCAGATTGGCCAGCTTATTATCGAGAACTTCTAGCCGTCCACGTAGCTGTCCGCCATTTCCTAGAGGCACAGCATTGCACGATCTACACAGATCACAAGCCTTTGACCTACGCAATGGATCAACGTCGCGACAAATTACCTCCAGTGCAGCAGAATCAACTGTCTTACATTGCACGGATCCCAACGCCAAGAGGATGCTGCCAGCTATGTTGTGCGCCTGCGACAGCGCATGTCTTAACTCCTCCCTGTACCCGCCTCTCATCATGCTACCCCTAAACTTTTTTGTCTTCCAGGACCTTACAACATGTTCCCACGTTTTTCTGCGTGATGACACCGTGCGAAGGTCCCTGCAGCTCCCATACAGCGGTCCCTATAAAATCAAACGTAGAGATGCCAAGACCGTCACCATCCAATACAAAGGCTCCAACGTTCGTGTGAGTGTGGACCGAGTAAAGCCTGCATTCCTCCTAGATGATGACGCTGCACCTCAGACCCAACTCAGCGACGACCTCAGCCCAAACTCCTGCCCTGCTGCCCGACACAGCCGTTCGTCCTCCCTACGTGACACGATCCGGCCGCCGTGTTGCTTTTTGGCGACCGTAACCAGGGAGAGGAAAATAAATAAGATTTTGACAATAACTGTAAAATATAATTCAATAAATTCAATCATTATAATGTGAATTATTTTGTGTTATTCGGTAAACCTACCGACCCACAGATTTGTCGGTTTTGTTTCTAACATCTCTACACGTTTCTCCAAATTATTAAACATATTCACATAAGAAGCATTATTAGACGCCTTTTGTGTGTTCGAAATATTTAATAGCTTTAAAAAATTCCTCTAGGTGAATTTTAAAATCATTAAATTATGCAATAAAAGATACATTATTAATTTTAGTATCTATTATTTGTTGATCCAATATCTTTTCATTTTTCTTTACAATATTTTCATGAACATCAAGTTTTTTTTATAAATTTTCAATTCGTTGTATATTACCGTAAGTAATATCATAAGGGCATTTAATTTTTTCGAAAAGAATCGAAAAAACACGTTGCTAAGTAATATTTTAACAAAAAGCATGAGTGCTGGTGGCAACAAAAATCCGAGACGAAGCATTTTGTTAAAAAATATTACTTGGCATTGTGGTTTTTCGATTTTTTTCACAGGAAAAATTTGATCCCGAATGGTATTTGACAAGACTATTTCATGAGTAACAGTTAACAATTAAAATATAAATTGCAATTTTTGGTGACAACAGCTGTCAAGTTTTGCCGCGGGTAAACTCGAAAAAACTGCTGACAGGTGCTGTCACACAGTTTTTTCACCTAGAAACCATTTGTAATTCAAAATTGCGCGTTTGTGATTGGTGGAAATTAAGACGAGAAAAATAGTCCAATATATTTTAATTGTTTTTTCTAAAGCATCATTCAATATTTAATCTTGCTGAGTTTTAAATTGATTTATGTTCTTTTTAACGTTATCATTTGTTTTATTTAATATTTCCTTAAAATCTTTTTGTATTTTAGTTACGTTACTTTTTAAGTATTTCTCTAATTTTACTATTTGTTGTTTTATCGATTTAAAATCTGTCTGCTGCTTTAATGTTTTTATCATTAAATAATTTTTTAAATTTTTAATACTTTGTTTAATATTTAAATTTTCATTGTCTGCACTATCTATTATAGATTGTAAGGAATCAGTAACACCTTTATGATATGTTTTGAAATAATTGTCAACAAATATTCTATTTGCAGCATCATTATCTTGTTCGGGTAATTTCACATTGGTATCTTCAAAATTTATCATTATTTTTGTCCGAATTTGTCGGGACTCATTTTATATATAAAAAAACTTATCTAAAACATACATATTTAAGTCAAATATTTATTAAAAATTGTAATATACTCGAAAAAATTATACTCTTGTTTTTAATTTAAGTAAAATTAATGTATTAAAAAATGTAAAGGCGTTGTTAATGTGCGTCTTCAATTTAAAACATTTAATTAATAACCCAGACATGGCCAATTAACAGTTAATTGAACCTTCTTCGTCTCTCAATAGAGGGGCCCGTATACAAGCTTGTTTAATCATTTTAGATTTAATTAAAATTATATGCAAGAAATGTGTTTAAAATAATGTAAAGGCGTATATTAATCAATAACCCAAACCATGATCCTAATTGAGGACCCCCCTTATTTAGCGCGTTTAACAAAACAATTAACAAACAATTTTAAATGTGTGTGAAAAAATATCTAGGCGTCGGTAATTTAAATTATTTTTAAAACCCCACGCAGTATGTTTTTAATAGTTTTTTGCTCTTCGAATACACATCTAGTCTTTAGTTAAAACTATTAAAAGCAAGTCTAGTGTAATGTGTTTGTGTCTTTTTTAATTTGTACGGCTTTCTCTACGCGGAACGAAGGAAAAAAAGTAAGTCAATTATTTTATTGCTTTATTTATTTATGCATTCTTTTTTTCGCACGTTTTGTTTTTTATTATTAAATTATTATAACTTTTATTGTTACTTAAAATTATTTATTTGTTTATTTATGGATGATTACATGTTATTTGAAAATTTAAAATCTGTTCTTCAACTCTTCATAATGATAATTGATACCATGAGAGCGCTAACTCCATCTATCTGAGCCAAAACTATCTATACAGGGTTTCACCAAATAGGTTGTTATCCTTTAAGGGGATGATAGTACACGCCAAAATAAGAAAGTTTTTAAAGCAAAGTAGAAATTTTGAGCCGCCACTGGTTGTTCCTGACCTACGACAAATATACATTTATTAAAAATTTACATTTGTGTTATTATTCATTACTTGTTAATTATTGTTTTTTATTTTGCATACTCAGCTATTTTTAGGTACTTTAAATAAAACAATACTTACTTTTTATTGTTAGGTATCTCGAAGTTTCCGTGGTTTTCAAGTGTTCCACAAAATTATAATAAATGTTCAACTATCCCGCCGTTATTATCCACACAAAGTATCCGGATGATTTTAGATTTCATCTGCCGCTGCAGTGACAAGTTACCGGAGTTGTTCTAATGTGTCAACTTCGCTTTGGTACACTAAACTTGAGGAGATCTGAAAATACCCCTCCATACCAAATAATCCGTGGGTTATTACGATCTTAATTGTTTAAAATAAATGTATTCAAAAAGGGAACGTAGACGAGGATCATTCGAGAAGAAAAATTTGTAGTTTTATACATTTTAAATAACTAAATTATTGTAGTATAAATATTCTCGAACATTTTGGTATAATTAGTTTACACAAATACCTTGTGTAAAGATAAATATTCAATCATTTGACTTGGCGTTATAGATCGAACGATTCCGCCATGATGGCTGCCGTTTTAATAAACCACGCCCGTAATCGACATGAAATAAATTTACGTTTGAACTAGGGATTTCGTATTATAATTTGGATTTTAAGTTATAAACAATTGGTTGTACTGATTTTATCTAATTAAAATAGCAGGGTTGTATGGATTTTATCTAATTAAAATAGCAGGGTTGTACGGATTTTATCTAATTAAATGGGCAGGGCCGTATTCGATTTAATCTAGCTAAATGTCAGGATTGTACTTGAGATTATTTAATTATTTTAATAAATTTTTCTTAAAGGGGATTTATCATAAACGCTGTGTAAATTAAGTGTAATTAATATCGATTTTCTTGAATACGGGATTTATTAAATTGTACTCGCAGATTCACATTTATGTCCCATAATTAGTTAAGTAATTTTACCAGTCATATTACATGATACTGATACAACAAGCCCATTTTGAATTACTATCCTGTAAATTTTATTAGGTGTCAGCCGGTCTGATTTCAACAGACTGCGCGACGCAGACATTGTTTTTGTTATTTGTGTCATTTTGATTACCTAGTATTTTATGGTAATTATTAATTTATTAAAGTTTGCCGACAAATGAGGCATAATAGACAATTGCGAACCCTCAGTTGAAGCGATCTTGAGCCTGATTTATTTACTCCTCTTCTAACATATGAACATCTGACATCTGAAATAGGGAGAAAGAGGAATTGATTGATTATGTAAACAGAAAGAATACAAAACAGTTTTCATGCTATATATTCTAATTTATTCTTTAACCTAATATTTATAATGTATATTTTTACATTCCCTTCATTATATTACTCAAAATCAATACAAATGTAACATTTATTCCTAGCAATATTTGCATTCGTGCAAAGGCACTCCTTAAGACGTTCGTGTAGATGTTTGGCTAATGTAATAGGTTTATGAATATTTTCACAGCATGATTTTGTAGTAGGTTCTTCCCAGAAGCACATTTGTCTTTTAATTGCCTTTAAAGTTATTTTAAAATAAGACATTTTAAATACATTTTAATTTTTAACCTACCTTATCATCATTAAATGGAAAAATATATCTATACTTTTGACACGTGGGACATTGTATTCGACATTTACCTAAAAACATAATTATAAAATAATTATAAACTATAAATAGGTATGTAGGTATTACAAAATTATTAAATAAATAAAAACATATACCAGGCAACAAAAGATAAAGTTCCATCCCCCAAAATGTTTTACCGTACCTTCATCAGATAATACAGGTTAATACTAAGCGAAAGACTTTTAAAAATACAGTTGGACAAGTGTAATAAAAAACATCACTCCGTCGCGACGGCTGCCGACGCGTCGGCATAATCGAAATTGTATTTAAAAATGTTCTTATCTTAGTATTGACTGGTTTACTTGACGCACTTGTTCAACTGTATTTTTAAAAGTTCTTCGCTTATTGTTGACCGCCTATTATCTTGCAAGTAAAGACTGAAAAACGTTGCTTGGTTTAAGTACTCGATTTCGATTTATTATTTTTTATATGCTTATATAAGTAGATACACTATGTATGTTCTCGACCGGAAGTGACCCAGACGCTACGTGACGTCAGCAGTAGGCGGTTCTCGATGGAGGCGCCCCCCTGGTGGGGTGGTGGGGGTGATCATATTAGCTATTGGTGGGCAGCCATTTGGGCAACGCCCTCAACTGATAAGCGTAAGTGAGCCTATTGGTGGGTTGTTGGCGGATGGCGGCTGGCGGATGGCGGCCATGTTTGATAGATATTAGCTATTGGTGGATGGGCGTTCCCCTTAGGTGTTGTGGTTGGTTGTGGGCGGGGGATGTGTGTTTAGTTGGCATTACTGGAGATGTAAAAGATAAGCGATATGCATATTGGTTGTTTGTGGTTGGCGTATTAGTTTGGTATTACTGGAGATGCAAAAGATAAGCGATATGCATTTGCTGCGTGACTTAACAGTGGTTTGATATCCGGGGGGAGATAAGGATTTATTATTATTTTGTTGTAAATTTTATTTTTGACGCCATTTTGAATTGCTGGATCCCCCGACTTGTCCCGACTTGTTGTTCGGCAAGTTTCGGGGGTTTTAATGCGGTGTGGTATCAGTTATTTGGAGATAAGGATTTATTATTATTTTAGAAAAACGCAGAGAAGCGAACATTTTTAACATGGGTAGATTGGAACATCGGGAGCCTTTTTAGACGTTCAGTCTCCCGTCCGACCTTATAATAACAACATTTTAAACAGGAGAACATATAATATCATAGGTATTACTAAAAAATGATTAGTGTAAAGGAAATTGAAAAGGCAATCCAAAATATTG